GCAATGGATATTATCATTATGGATTCATCTGAAGAAACCATTTCACCATTATTTGAATGATTGTTTGATTTGTAAATGGTGATAATATGGAGAAATGCTGTCACTATTACTCAGAGCCCAAAATGTCACTTATTTTGTGCAGATCCAGTGCCATTATAGTTTAAAATAGAACTTCTGTTCTTAATCATTCAACACATTCAACAAGCTGCATTTTAATGTTTGCATGGCTGTATATATTATTTGTATTTATATCAGAGCTTTATTAAAAAGCACCCTGCTCCACGTTCTGCATCCTGTACTGAGATATAGAAACAGGCTGAGACTCAGCTGAGCTGCTTTCAGGTTCTCAGTGAGTTAGGGTCTTCTGGTTTCTCACAGATACTTTTGTGAGGGTCTTCACAGGATGCATCAAACCAACACGTCAGCTCTTTTGCTCCACCTCTCTCCCCCATCCTCGCACAATCCTCTCCCATAGTATCGATCCCTTTATAGTTGTCTGGCTCTCCTTCGGACCAAAAAGTCAATCTGAGGTTTGAGGAAGAGAAAGAAGTGATTTAATCAAACTGATGACTTTGATATTGGAGATAAAAAACATGTGTTTACAACAATCTAACCCGCTGTCCAGTGGGGTTTGATCGTCCAGTGCTGAACCGTCTGTCCACAGCCATGCTCCCTCTCTCTCTGAGTCCGTCAGTCCGATCCAGAACTTGTCCTCATCTCCAGTCATTTGAACTCTCACTCTCTGATCCAGGAATGTCTGGACAGCAAAAAGAAATGTGTTGAATAACTCCTCTGAACTAATGCAGAAACAAAGTGGTGGATGGTGACCCTGCAGCAGTGTGTTCTACCTGCTCCTCTCTGCTCTCGATCTTAACCAGATCTCCTCCTGTACGTCTGCATTCAGCTCTGCTCCGTGTCCAGGTTGCTTTAATGATGGAGAAATAATAGCATTTCCCTCCATGACGCTCCCAGCCGTCTGGGCATCTTTGACATGAGCCCCCTTTAAAGAGATCAGAGCAAAGTCTTTAGTCAGACGACACACATCTGTTTGATGTGTGTGACGATCTGTCACTTCCTCATCAGAAGAGCAAACATGTGAGAAAGTCAATCACTGACTGTTTACTTCAGGCCTCGTTGGCTCCGGTTTCACTGCAGAGAATCTCTCTGTTGTGGAAAAAGATACAAAAGATTTCACCTTCATCAGAGGTGTCTCTTAGTTGAGAACCTGAACAGAGATCTAAACTCTTCCATGGTTCACTCAGTCGAGACACAAAGATGAATGTTCAACAGAACAATATGAGTGTTCCAACATTTGAAAGAGATCTGGATGAAGTTTACCTGTGAGGTTTTGTATCTCAGCGTCACACTCATCTCTGGTCATCTTTTGGGGACGTTCTGTGGTTTGGATGTTTTGATGAGCTGATTGTTCAAATAGAGAAAGAAAAGTTTTAAGAGTCTGTTCATTAGAGGAGAATCATTCCAACATATATAATAATGTTATGGAGAGATAGGTTCACATTGAAATGCCAAATAGATTGACATTGAAAATTCTCCAAACTAATTTGACTGATTTTAAATTGAGAAAGGAAAATGAAAGCATCGAATCTGTTCAGATGAATTTAACTCCAAGCTGTTCTGTTACACATGTTTGCAGAGATCGCCTGAAGCCACCAGTTCTGTTCTTCTGAACAAGGTTCAAGGTTCAAGGTTCAAGGTTCAAGGTTCAAGGTTCAAGGTTCTTTATTTGTCATACGAACATAGCTATAGTTATGCCGTTGAAATTCTTAGGTCACAGGCTTCTCCAACAGAGCAACACAATAAGACAGATAAACAGAAAAATATAGTGCAAGTAAATATTAAATAGTAAATATAAAAAGAAAAATTGTTTTAAAAGAAAGTGAAATAGTGCAATAAGAGTCTATATGCTATATATGTATGATATATTAGATAAATAGATAAATAATGACTAAGTAGCAGATGAATGTTATGGATGTTGTTTCAGCAGTTCAGGAGTTTAACAGTCTGGATGGATGAAACATCAGATTCAAATCTTGTTCTTAATGAATTGAGTTTGAAAAGAAACTCACAGGTTACTCCGAGAGTGACGAGAGAAGCTGCCAGGAGAACGCTGAGAACAATCACAGCCGCTCTCTCTGAGGTGACTCGACATCGTGGAGCTGACTCAGACTGCTGCTGGGAACCTGTTGAGGACAGACGTTCCAGAAGGGAGTGGAAACGATCAAAGGTGCTAAATGTAACTACGAATCTGGATCACTTACACTCTACACATGTTGGGAAATTAAAGAAGACTTGAACGGACTACGTTTTCATTTTAAAAAAAAAAAATAATAATACTGATGAATATTTTACTCATATTTTGTTTTTTTATATTAAAAACACTTTATTTGAAGAAGCGTTTTGAGGCTCGGATATTACATTTATTTGATTTGTATTGGTATATTTATTTATTTGCACATTTTACTCTTTTATTCAGTGTTTTGATGAAATGTTCATAAAGGCAGTATGATCAAATGTTAACTTTTAGTGAAGGAGTAAGTCCTAATCCAAAGAAATGTCACAGTGTAGAAATGTTGAGGAGCAAACCAGCCCAAAGTCCTGACCAGTGGAGGAGTCCCTTTGTGTTTGTGTTGTTGCTGTTTTTGTGTTTGTGTTCTGTTTTAAGGACGTTTTAAAGAAGCGGTTAAAGTCAAACCCCATTTCACAGGTTCACACGCTACACGCGATACATCCGCTTTCAGAGTTTCCTTTTTTGGACATGTTAGAGCCAATTGTTTTTCAAAATGTTATGAATGCAGTCCATAAATCAGAAACTTACTGTCACCAGAAAAACCTAAATATATTACAATATGGACAAAGTTGTAAAAATGGACCTAATAATGTGACCACGTAACTATCACAGTTGATTAGTTGAATTAAGATGATGTGTTTTTATTACTAGTTTATTTTAAATGTTGAAAAATGCAAATGGATCATTATCTAATGCAAACTTTTATTTGTTCTCAGTAGAAATCGAAGTATAGTTAAATTAAAATAAAATGTAACTGTTATGGCAGATTCCTTATTACAGCGTGTTTCTCTCTTATTTATGAAGGCAACCGGTCAGAGAGGCTCCATTGTCTCTTCCGCAATTATCAGCAGATATACCCATGTTAGGTACATTGGAAAAGATCAGAGGAAGTCCAAGGGAGATCTTCCTCAGATATAATACAGTTAGAGTCTAAAGCTAGTAGTTCATATCCAGCATGCATTAGCTAGACCCTCCAGAAAAACGCGATTCTGCGATCGCAGAATTTACCGCATAATCAGCAAAATGGCGCAGATTTCTAAAAGGCCGCATATTTATCAAAAGGCCGCATAATCCCCGCATTTTTCCACACAAAGTTGAGAAGAAAAAAAAGTTAACTCGTCTTGACGTGACGTCATCAGCTCGCGCATCACAGAATGTAAACAACACCGTATAGAGCTCATTTACCGACGAACATTTCTACTAAAGACCGGGCAAAAAGTGGGGGGAAACTATTCTGCCCCCGTGCAACTGTGTGTTCATTCAAACATTCGAAAATGCTTTCTGCTGCAGCGGACAAGAAAGCCATTCACGTTCACCGAGGGATCAACCTCCAAAACCTTTTAGAGGG